CTGTCCTTGACGATGCCGCTTCTTCGGTCCTTTGACCTACTTTTTCGACCACCGTTTCACTCCTGGATATAACGGATTGTTGTGCGGTGCTGGCCTGCGTACCACTGGTGTCCGTCCTGTTGCTCGCCGTTGCTATGGACGTCCCTGAGTCCCACGTGCATGTGGACGTGTCTGTGGTGGCTCCACTTGAAGGAGTTGCTCCATTTGACGCAGTAGCTGTGGTCGCTCCAGATGATTCCGCTTCTTTAGCTTTTTCTTGAGAGCCCTGTCCTTGTCCTGCTCCCTTCGCTTCTCCCTGTCTGGTCTTGTGCCTTCTTTATCTTGCAGGAAGGTGATTGTTGGCCTACGGTCCCTAACTGTCCCTACAGTCCCTACGGTCCCTACAACCCCTTACCTACAACCCTTCTACACCCCAACCTAACACCACTACCCCCTCCCCCCTTTATCTCCCAACCCTACAACCCTACTACCACCCTAACAGCCCTATCAGCCCTATCAATCCTGAACGGGGCCTACCGAGGTGAGCCGTCTAGGGATGGAGTCGTGCAGGAATGGAATGGAGGAAAGGTTTAGGAACTGTCCCGCCAAGGAATATGACGAAACAGTCGAGCGGTAGTGCAAGCGCAGTCTCGCTCGAGAGAACTGCTCCACCCGAAGGTGTTATGCCAGAGCCCAACCGTTTGGCACCGTTAGGTGGTCGGGATGTATGCTATGCTCGCCGCCCAGTTGCCGGTGACGCCTCGTCCAAGCGCCCTCCTCCGGCCGCGATGCAGTCAGGTGCCCACGCGCACCCTCGCCCGGCAGCAGCAGCGGTGGATGCTTTTGCACCCTGATGACCCGACGGGAAATGCCGGACACGGTCGTCCGACAGGAAATGCCAGACACGATCGTCTGACAGGAAATGCCGAGCACGCTTGCCCGACAGGAAAAATGCCAAGCCCTGCTTGGCCACGATGAGTGCCTTCACAAGACACCTGCGCCCGGCTGCGATATGTGCCCCATGCGAGCACACGCCCCAAGCTGCAATCCCGGTTTTCTTTCTTCCGGTAGTTCCAGGTCCAGCCCTTCAGTGCTGCCGTCCTGGTCTTCAGGCCTTTGGTCCTATTGCTTCAGCTCAAACCTCTGGCTTCCTTCGGTTGCTGATCTTCACTCGGCTTCCGAAGGTCTTCTTCTTCCACAACCAGCAGTCCACAGCTGGTTCCTTGATCCAGCTGGCGGGGTTCGGGTGGTCTTCAATCCGGCTCGAAGGACCAATTGAAAAGGACCAGGTCGGTGTCCCTCTTGATCCTGAAAAGGACCAATTGAAAAGGACCTAGCGGATCGGGTACTAAGAAACAGGAATCGAGGCTTCTCTCGATCCGGCCTCCTATCACGCCTACGTTGGGTTCGGGAACAACGTATGTGATCTCCGCAACGGAGTAACACACTAGGGCGATAACCTCTTCCTTTTCAGCAAGTAGGTTCAGACGGGGATTACGGGTCTTCCGAAGTCGTCCCGGTCCCGACGCCTTAATTCTTCGATGTGGACTGTATAACTTAAAGGATCTTGGGAATGAAACAGCAATTATCTTCAAACCGTTCCGTGAGAGAGTAATCACTTTTCCTATACTGCTGGTTTTTCACTTTTCTTGAACTTTTTCCCGGATTTTCTTATTTATTTCCGAACTATTTCCTTGAATATTTCCCGAACGATTCCCGAACGATTTCCTTGAATATTTCCCGAACCATTCCCGAACGATTCCCGAACGATTTCCTTGAATATTTCCCGAACCATTCCCGAACGATTCCCGAACGAATTGCAATAAAATCAATTTACTATCCTACCCCTAAGCTAAACGCGAAAGTGAGCCGCGCCATCTGCGCGCTTGCGCAACTTAATTACATGAATTTGTACTATTACTCTCTACGTTTCACTCAATATCTTTATTTATTCAAATCATATACAAATACAATTTATCAATATAGGTAGTACAAAACAATATCTACACCATGATATACATCATATCTTCATATCATAAAAAACCTTTTATTTATTAAACGAAAACTGCCTATTTTACTCACAAGTTCGAAATCGAAATTTCTTAAATATTTAACACAGAAAGTTAAAACAATGTTTCTCACTTGAATTTATATATAAGCTAACCAATACAATAGTTTAATTTACATTTTTTCTATTTATTTCACTATTTAAAACACTTTTAAATTTCTTATACAAAACTATCATTATTTCACTTATACACAGGAATTTTCACATGAAAATAACACAGAATTTACCTTTTTAGCACGTACAATTAACCTGAAATATTTTACAAGTAATTTTTACATAAATCACTGAATTACAAACATTTTAAATTTTTACATATTCGGCCTCCTAAGGGCGTGGCCAGCGTGCTTCCGTGTACTCACGCTATGTGAACAACTAACTTTGCACGGCTCTCGGCTATCAGAAAAAATTAAATTATGAAATACACCAATTTTGACCACATTAGGCAAATTAAATGCTTTTATACAATTTTCGAACTGTATGAAACTATCTTTAATCAGATAACAATATAAATGAATGTTCTCATTAATCAATCATAACAAATAGGCATTTGTTTTCGTACAAAACGTATCAAACTTATACAAAACAACATTTATGCAATTAATATCCATTAATTCTGCATATCCGATCTTTAACTTCACTTTAATATTCTTATGAATTTACATCATTTGAAAGATGATTTCAACCGGGGAACAAATCCGGTAACATAATTTATATCTTAAATTCCTTACGAATTTATTAAGCGATATTACTTAGGAAAACAAACAAACTAGTCCGGCCTGGGAGTCGAACCCAAGACCTTCATATCATTAATTCGACATTTCTTAAAGATTTAACTAAGCATTCTCTTATCAGAGCGTCGTTGCTCGTGACTACCCCTTTTTTCATAGCAACGTCATCGGTTGATTTAGTAAACTGAAACATTTTTATAGGCGCGTCGCCAACAGCTATAGTTGTGGTTATATGTTTTTTTTATTATGGCTACTTATATTATACTACTGTATAGTAGGACGCATTTTCTGTCGAGAAGGTGCCCCGCCTAGGGAGATAAGCACCCTCTTACTTATTTCTGCTGCCAAAAATAGTTCCCGTCTAAATGTATAAAAACAAAGCTTGTATATTTACAGGCTGTTAGGCATTGTATCTGAGTCTCAGAATGTAACAACACATCTATAGCCTTCTTTGTACTTATACTTACCATTAAATGTACTGTTGGTGAGTGGCTACTGCCAGTTCAGTTGTCGCTTCAGTTTTATATAAAAAGCTAAAACAATTTTAGCCTTATAATGTTATGTTTTGAGGATTTTCTCGAAGTAAAATACTGTTTGTTAAAATAAAAAAAGATACAAAGGTCGTGCTTAATTTTATTTCAACGGTAAATTGTCGCATTTAGAGTATGATTTTGGTTTTACTACAAGAGCCTCCACATTGTCGTTTTACATTTAATACAAGTTGTTAAATGGTCGTCATCGTGAGCTGTAATTATTCTACATAACAAGGTAGTTATTGTTTTGTAGAACAATTAATTTTAGACAAAGTTGAATATGGATAATGGTAACAAAGTTTCATATTTTGTATAAATAACAAGGTGTAAGGGGAATCATGCAACATTTTATTCGAATGGTAACTTCTTCAACGTATGTTTCACTCTAAGTATTGACGGTCGAAGCTCTGGCGATCAAGAAACTGTGGAACAATCCATTCAAAAATCCTTTGCAAGAATTTATATTAAAACTTCACAGACTGATAAAGCAGCAAATCTGGTGCCAGGTGTCGCTTGTTGCTGCTGCTTGCGCCTGGAGTGCGGGCGCAGAGGAGGCGAGAGAGGTGTGTCAGGATAGTGCCAAATGGAAGTCTGTAGTCTCTGCCTACTCCTCTGGGTGACAGGTGTGAGTTTTTATGTATGATTTATTACAGCCCATCAAAAGTCCACTGCTTTTGCACGAAATAGTCCCCTCCTACAGTTTGCTTCTTAGTAGAAACGTTTGCAAAACTTACCACGCTTGGCAGGTAGGTCGGCTGCTGCAATTTTTTGGGAATAAGAACACACTGCTACCCATCTCCTGGTTTGATTCTCTCTGGCACCTGTTACGACACCTACAGGACGATATGGGGTAGTGGATATACCTGCACTACAAGGTAAAATACTAATATTCATTAACACTTTTAATAAATAATATATTATATACTGATAATATTTTATTTATCCCTCAACCTAAATTAGTATCGTAGGAGCTACATTTATCGTGGTAAAATGTTAGGCACTCACCTTAAGTTGTAGTGCACAGACATTGAATATATTTTTTAAATCATTGTCCTTACTATATGAAATAATAAAGGACGGTGAAGTGCCAATACCTCCTATCTGACATTTTTCGGGAAATTCACTTTTTGATACATTTATATTTAAAGTTCGAATTCGCATGTCTTAGTAAAACCTCTGAATTGATTTTTTAACTACAACAAGATTTATCACAATCTGGAAATACCTTCTAACTAAATCATCGTATCTTTATTATGACATTATACCTCCTAACTTCTAAAAGACTCGTCTATACGTGATCATTATTTGCGTCCGTGTGACAAATTGTGATTTCTTCTGTGGCGGCGTATAGCCCGCACAGTGGGCGAATGCGGGAGGGGCGGAAGAACGGTCCTACAGTCTTAAAAGTCAGTTCGCAGCAATAATTACGTCAAGAAGTTATAGTTTTAATTACGAGTGCCTGAATTATTAAATAAAATATTTTGTTAATGGTGTTATTAGCATATTGACGAGGTCAAAAATATAACAGGTAAGAATAAGAAGTATATTTTACGACAGGGATACATTATTTATACATTTAATTGCAGTTATTAAACTTTTTAATTGCTTATGTTGTAGATAGGATATATTTCTCTTACTTTTTTCTTTTGTTGATGTAATTAGGAGGTATTGTTTTACTTATATTTCAGTATAATGTCGCGAATGGCAAAGCGTTATCAGGGAGTCCGAGCTAGACAAATATTGAACATACTTAGGGGACTTGCGAACAACACGCAGCTTCAAACATCTTCATCTAACTCAGGTAAATTTTTTGAACTAAACTATAATTTCTGTGACAGTCAAATTCTAAGTTTGACTCTAAGGGATGAATTTAGGATTTTGCGTGTTCCAAAGTTTTTATTATCACTGTTTATCATCTTTTTAGATATGCCTGAGCAATTGATACCTGAAAAGAAAACAAAAGCCTCTACGAACGACTACCTTAGACCAAAGAAGAGAAAAGTCACTAAATCGTATTCACTTTCAAACATACCAAAGTATAACCATTCAATGAATCAACGACGTTGTTCTTCTGTTCCACCTACAATTACAGTACAGTATCGAAAACAAAAGGATTTTCATATTTACAGTGATATTTGTTCTGTCGGTAGAGGATGTAGTTTATCGATGTCGGCTCTCACTTGCGATGATACCAAAGAATTTGGCAGGAAAAGATGTTACTCAATTCCACTTTCATATTTCAGTATTAACGAAAATACTCAGATGATAGAACCTGAACCTTCTAACCTAATAGTCGAAAGTAGCTCCTACGATGGGGACTATTCGGGTGATGACACTGACGTAACTTATTGTCCCTCAGACTTGTGTCTTGGTTCATACACCGTGCAATCTTGGGTTAAAAAGTCGCGTAATAGAGTAATTCCTTGTCAGGAAGTTCAAAATATGGCCAGGGTTAAAACGCCACGATCTGGAACTCTGCGAAAACTTTTAACCGCCCGTAGCTTTTTAGATAACATTCCCAAGCTACCGTCTCACTATGCGAGAAAAGACTCGTCAAAGTTATATTTAGAACCAATTTACCGTTCTTTGAATGATTTATATAGACAGTATAAAGAGCACTGTACTCAAAACGAAGAGCCTGTGCTTTCTCGTTTCACATTCCAGAAACTGTTTCACGATAAGAATCTCTCTTTATACACGTTGAAAAAAGACATGTGCGACATTTGCAGTGGACATGTAGTAGGAAACATTAATACAACCGATTATGAACATCATATTAGACGCAAAAATAGAGCGAGGCAGGAAAAGGAAACCGATAAAAAGAAAGCTACATCTGGTGAATTCATTTTGCTGTCTATGGATTTAGAGTCTGTAAAAGTATGTCCTTATATAACTGCTAGTGCCCTTTACTTTAAGACAAAACTTACCTGTCATAATTTTACAATTTATGACCTGGTAACCCATCAAGCCTCCTGTTATTGGTTTGATGAAACGTGCGCGGATCTAACTGCTAGTACCTTCACATCTTTTGTATGCGATTACCTCAAGAGATATTGTTTGCCCAAACCATTACCCATAGTTATTTACTTAGATGGGTGCACCTATCAAAATAGGAATAATATCATGGTAAATGCTTTGTTGAACATGAGTATTGAACACGAAGTATCTATCACACAGAAATACTTAGAGCCTGGTCATACTCAAATGGAGTGTGACTCAGTACATGCTGCAATTGAAAGAAAGTTAAAAAATAGGGAGATACATCTTCCCAGTGACTATATTACTGTGATGAAGGAGGCACGAATAAAGCCTGCTCCGTATGAAGCTATTATGATCAATTATGATTTTGCTAAGGATTATAGCAATAAATCGACATGGAGGTACAGCAGCATAAGACCGGGTCGAAAAGCTGGAGCCTCTTGTTGTTGAACTGCGAGTCATCCAGTATACTCCAGAAGGCACTATTTTCTACAAAATTAACTTTAAAACTAAATTCAATTCAGTATACACCTTTGCATGCCACACCGATTCCCTTAGCTTCTTCTAAATTCAATCACCTTCAACAGTTAAAAGAAGTATTACCAATATATTGCCACTTGTTTTATGATACTTTACCTCATGAGTGATCTTTTAACAACTTTTTATTTCATTGTCATTGAATTGCATACCTACTTTTGTATTACCTACATTGTATTCCTTACATTCAAACTAATTAGATTAGGTTGTTTTTGTTACAAAATATTTAATGTATTTGTCAAAGCCATTATCATCTAAGTATCTTAAGTTATTACAAAAAATAAATAAATGAAAAGTTAATACCTCCTAACTAACCAAATACCTACAACACTATCGTATTACATAACGAAATGTCATTAGAAACAAATAATTAATTATTCTTAATCACAATAAATAAAAATATTCCAAAATTTTAAATCAGTTAAATAATTAAACGTTTTTTTCGTTTTGTGTAATATTCTAACTTCAGCAGTTAGATGATATTGGCACTTCATTTCTTCTTACGTGAAAAAAAGATTAGACATAGAAATACCGTATGGAGACACAGCACTAGTCAATAAAATCATTCTTTGTATGGCATCACTGATTCACAAAAAATTGTCAGATGATGTCAGAAATTTGCCTATTTCACAATTTTAAACGATATTGCATATATTTCTGATTATTAAATGTTATTATAATGTCAAAGAATACCTAGAGGATGAAAGTATTGTAATTTAATAACAATAGTTTTAATTTAATTGTAACTTAATAATAATAATTTAAATTTATTTATAATTGAATAATAGTAAGTAAGTAGTAATACATTTACCTATTATATGTGACACATTGTAATAATTTAATAAGAAAGTATAATAAATCATAATTTTGATATTATTTAATTTGTATAACAAGATATTAAATTCGATTGTCCATATTATTAAAGACATTAAATTTTGAATTTAAATAACTTCAAAGTATTTATTTTGACAACAATTAGCAATATAAACCCTTCTCAACTAATTGCAATATTTTTTTTGTTCTTATTTTTCATTTTATTTACACGCACCATTGTTGTTGAATTAGTAATGTGTAGCCTAATATTATAGTGCATTTGTTTACCTCATAAGGTAATAATAATACAGCGTACATATTCTAACTTTCTATAACAATTTTTATACCTGTATTATGCAAATAAATGAATTTGATTTGATTTAATTTGATAATGGTGCCCTGTTGGCGACGCGCCTATAAAAATGTTTCAGTTTATTAAATCAACCGATGACGTTGCTATGAAAAAAGGGGCAGTCACGAGCAACGACGCTCTGATAAGAGAATGCTTAGTTAAATCTTTAAGAAATGTCGAATTAATGATATGAAGGTCTTGGGTTCGACTCCCAGGCCGGACTAGTTTGTTTGTTTTCCTAAGTAATATCGCTTAATAAATTCGTAAGGAATTTAAGATATAAATTATGTTACCGGATTTGTTCCCCGGTTGAAATCATCTTTCAAATGATGTAAATTCATAAGAATATTAAAGTGAAGTTAAAGATCGGATTTGTTCCCCGGTCGAGATAATCACTCTGTGTATAGGCAGAATTAATGGATATTAATTGCATAAATGTTGTTTTGTATAAGTTTGATACGTTTTGAACGAAAACAAATGCCTATTTGTTATGATTGATTAATGAGAACATTCATTTATATTGTTATCTGATTAAAGATAGTTTCATACAGTTCGAAAATTGTATAAAAGCATTTAATTTGCCTAATGTGGTCAAAATTGGCGTATTTCATAATTTAATTTTTTCTGATAGCCGAGAGCCGTGCAAAGTTAGTTGTTCACATAGCGTGAGTACACGGAAGCACGCTGGCCACGCCCTTAGGAGGCCGAATATGTAAAAATTTAAAATGTTTGTAATTCAGTGATTTATGTAAAAATTACTTGTAAAATATTTCAGGTTAATTGTACGTGCTAAAAAAGGTAAATTCTGTGTTATTTTCATGTGAAAATTCCTGTGTATAAGTGAAATAATGATAGTTTTGTATAAGAAATTTAAAAGTGTTTTAAATAGTGAAATAAATAGAAAAAATGTAAATTAAACTATTGTATTGGTTAGCTTATGTATAAATTCAAGTGAGAAACATTGTTTTAACTTTTTTGTGTTAAATATTTAAGAAATTTCATAGGCAGTTTTCGTTTAATAAATAAAAGGTTTTTTATGATATGAAGATATGATGTATATCATGGTGTAGATATTGTTTTGTACTACCTATATTGATAAATTGTATTTGTATATGATTTGAATAAATAAAGATATTGAGTGAAACGTGAGAGAGTAATAGTACAAATTCATGTAATTAAGTTGCGCAAGCTCGCAGATGGCGCGGCTCACTTTCGCGTTTAGCTTAGGGGTAGGATAGTAAATTGATTTTATTGCAATTCGTTCGGGAATCGTTCGGGAATGGTTCGGGAAATATTCAAGGAAATCGTTCGGGAATGGTTCGGGAATCGTTCGGGAAATATTCAAGGAAATCGTTCGGGAATCGTTCGGGAAATATTCAAGGAAATAGTTCGGAAATAAATAAGAAAATCCGGGAAAAAGTTCAAGAAAAGTGAAAAACCAGCAGTATAGGGAAAAGTGATTACTCTCTCACGGAACGGTTTGAAGATAATTGCTGTTTCATTCCCAAGATCCTTTAAGTTATACAGTCCACATCGAAGAATTAAGGCGTCGGGACCGGGACGACTTCGGAAGACCCGTAATCCCCGTCTGAACCTACTTGCTGAAAAGGAAGAGGTTATCGCCCTAGTGTGTTACTCCGTTGCGGAGATCACATACGTTGTTCCCGAACCCAACGTAGGCGTGATAGGAGGCCGGATCGAGAGAAGCCTCGATTCCTGTTTCTTAGTACCCGATCCGCTAGGTCCTTTTCAATTGGTCCTTTTCAGGATCAAGAGGGACACCGACCTGGTCCTTTTCAATTGGTCCTTCGAGCCGGATTGAAGACCACCCGAACCCCGCCAGCTGGATCAAGGAACCAGCTGTGGACTGCTGGTTGTGGAAGAAGAAGACCTTCGGAAGCCGAGTGAAGATCAGCAACCGAAGGAAGCCAGAGGTTTGAGCTGAAGCAATAGGACCAAAGGCCTGAAGACCAGGACGGCAGCACTGAAGGGCTGGACCTGGAACTACCGGAAGAAAGAAAACCGGGATTGCAGCTTGGGGCGTGTGCTCGCATGGGGCACATATCGCAGCCGGGCGCAGGTGTCTTGTGAAGGCACTCATCGTGGCCAAGCAGGGCTTGGCATTTTTCCTGTCGGGCAAGCGTGCTCGGCATTTCCTGTCAGACGATCGTGTCTGGCATTTCCTGTCGGACGACCGTGTCCGGCATTTCCCGTCGGGTCATCAGGGTGCAAAAAGCATCCACCGCTGCTGCTGCCGGGCGAGGGTGCGCGTGGGCACCTGACTGCATCGCGGCCGGAGGAGGGCGCTTGGACGAGGCGTCACCGGCAACTGGGCGGCGAGCATAGCATACATCCCGACCACCTAACGGTGCCAAACGGTTGGGCTCTGGCATAACACCTTCGGGTGGAGCAGTTCTCTCGAGCGAGACTGCGCTTGCACTACCGCTCGACTGTTTCGTCATATTCCTTGGCGGGACAGTTCCTAAACCTTTCCTCCATTCCATTCCTGCACGACTCCATCCCTGGACGGCTCACCTCGGTAGGCCCCGTTCAGGATTGATAGGGCTGATAGGGCTGTTAGGGTGGTAGTAGGGTTGTAGGGTTGGGAGATAAAGGGGGGAGGGGTAGTGGTGTTAGGTTGGGGTGTAGAAGGGTTGTAGGTAAGGGGTTGTAGGGACCGTAGGGACTGTAGGGACAGTTAGGGACCGTAGGCCAACAATCACCTTCCTGCAAGATGAAGAAGGCACAAGACCAGACAGGGAGAAGCGAAGGGAGCAGGACAAGGACAGGGCTCTCAAGAAAAGCTAAAGAAGCGGAATCATCTGGAGCGACCACAGCTACTGCGTCAAATGGAGCAACTCCTTCAAGTGGAGCCACCACAGACACGTCCACATGCACGTGGGACTCAGGGACGTCCATAGCAACGGCGAGCAACAGGACGGACACCAGTGGTACGCAGGCCAGCACCGCACAACAATCCGTTATATCCAGGAGTGAAACGGTGGTCGAAAAAGTAGGTCAAAGGACCGAAGAAGCGGCATCGTCAAGGACAGTAATCGGGCACACTAGTGATAAAGGGTCACAGAGAGGTAGTAGGTCATCGCGATCGGCGAGGCTGAAAGCCGAATTAGAGGCGCGGATTAAATTCGAACGCTCAGAGCTCGAACGAGCACAGGCAGCTGCTGCCTTAGCCAAGTCTCAATTGGAGTTGGCACGACTCAACCGAGAAGAGGAAATCGACTCGAGTGAGGATGATGAAGAGCGGAATACTCAGGTGGAACCTTTCGTAAGGAGTTGGGTTCAGCAAACCATAATGAGCGCGCCGGTTAGTGTAGCACAACCCGATATTACTGATAAGGAAGCGTGTAAAGGATCACGCCGCAAAGGGGCGGAGGTCGAGCGCAACCTAGGAAATGCACAGAAAACACACGCGAGTGAGGTGTCAGAATTGACCGAAGCGATTGTGAGTGCAATAAAAATAGCTGGTAAAGATAAATCTTCCCAGCTTCATTTCCTCCAGGAATTACCGGTGTTCGATGGAGACCCGGGTGAATGGATAATTTTCAAAACGGTGTTTGAAGACACAAAAGGCCAATTTTCAGGGGTGCAAAATGTCGCACGCCTTAGGAGGGCATTAAAGGGCACCGCTAAAGAGGCGGTTAAGTCGCTGTTATTTACTTTATGTGAACCTGAAGAAATAATGAACGCTCTCGAAAGAAGATTCGGTAGGGTTGAGATGCTCATTCTA